CTCTGGTTAACTTCTTGTCTTTGATGTTTCTTCCCCGGTTTTGATCTGCCTTTTAACACTTTCTTTCCTTCTGAGAAAATCACCCAGGCTTCTAGTTATTTTTGTACATTTTTACATTCTACACTTAGTTTAGAAACTGAGGTAACATTTCCTATGGGTACACTAGAGCTGGTAAGCATCCCTTTTCCTGTAAATGCAGAGTAGAGCAGAAGCCAAAACCAGGTATGAGGCCTCTCAAAAGAAGCTATAAATGTTTCCCTACCTGATTCCATGGGAAGTTTAGTCTGTATCAAAGAACCTTTTTCATTTTCTTTGGAGAGGAGTTGTGTAAAACAATGGTGGGTGCAAAGAATTGATTGGGAAGGGTGAAATAGTTGGGGGCTTTTTGCATGCTACAGTTAAGACCAGAAAAAGTTGTTTAGAAGCATGGAAAAGACCTGGGCTGCTCTCCAAGGAGACATTGCCTGGGCAGGGGAGTGCTCTGTAGTGGGAGTTTACTGTGATTCTGCTTTCCCAGCAAAACTCTCAGCAGGTTTTGTTTGTGACCCTGCATCCAAGAATTTGGCCTGCCTTCCTACCTGGTGTGAGCTTATAGGGATGAGGGTTCAGACTGGTTGTTGGCTTCTAAAAAGGGTTTTGGTCAGTTTGCTGCTGGAAATCGGCCGTGATTTAGTTTGATTGCTTTTGAAGAAAACACCTGCTTCTGAAAAGAGGGGGGAGAGAGGAAAGAAAGGAATGAAGAGGAGCTTTGCCAGTGCAGAGCTTTTAGTAGTTCACTGTTTTTGTTTGTGTGTTTATTTCATTCTGTTGTAGCCATTGCAGACGACACCACCAAAGGCATTGCCAAGCTGGTTGCCTGCCAGAAGGGAAGGACGTGTACTAAGGCATGGAAGAGAACTCATCTGAAGGCAAATGCTGCTTCTCCCTCTAAGAACTCAAAGAATCCACAACGCTCCCCTCTGAGAGCCAGGACTCCCATCCTGCCAGAGACAGTGAAGGCTGAGCTGCAGGCCCTGCTGAGCTCCTCACCTCTTCCACTCCAGGACTTGGACAAGGCCTTCCTCAAATGCTTTGGCCGGGCGTTCCCGTACAGGCAGCACGGATTTTCTTCTGTGCTTGAAGCCCTCAGGAGCGTGTCTGATTTCATTGTGGTTGAGCAGACAGAGGCAGGTTCTTTGCTGGTCCTGAGACAGTACCTGGCAAATGAGGCAGAGCAGGAAGAGGTGCCTCAAGGTGAGGCACAGGACGAAGAGATGCTGCGAGGTGAGGGGGTTTTTTTGGCTAAAAGCACGTAGTAGCTCTTACAAGCTCTGTAGCCAAGCAACTACGTTTCAGGTGGCTCTTGCTGTATTTCTAGTTGCTGTAGTAGTCCAGGTTCCCCCAGGTTTTAGCACAGAAGGGCTGCTGCAGAAGCAGCTGTCACAAGGCAGTTGTCTTGGTAGCTGAGTCTAACTGGAATTTTTCAATGTGTTGCCACTGTTTTTTGATGTGAGGGTAAAGGAAGAGATGTTTAACCCTTTCAGAGAATGAACCTTCTGAGTGTGTGTATGTGTAGGACTGGAATTTCTAGTCATTCCATGCAGTAGGTAACAAAACTAGAAGGATCTTCTGAACGTCTGCTCTGTGGGCTGCTGAAGCCTTTCTGATATTCTTTTTGAGACAACAGTAGCCTGAAAGGCACAGCTGCAGTGTTCCACAAGAGAGACAAGACTGCAGATACCTTAAGTGTTCTCATAAAACCTACAGTAGAGGGTGGAAAAATCACATAAGAGTTACTGACAAATTCATGGCTTTTCGGGGGGAAAATTAATTCTGGCATCATTCTAGCAATGGATTTTAGCACTTGGCATGCTTTTAAGAGCAAGCAGTTGTTTTGGTTTGTTTCAGCTTATTAATACAGTGAATCCTCAGGAATGTAGTGGCTGTGAATGCTACAAGAAGTGAGGAAAACACCACCAGTGTTTTCAGATGTTTTCTCTTTCTGCTTAATATGCTACACTGCATCAGTCCAATCAGTAAGAATAACAGCCAAAATGTCATCTTTGCAGCTGAGATGCCTCCTTTGGAACCCGTCTGTGAGACAGATAACTTCCACCAGGCAGCACTTCATCAGAAGTGGGAGCCAGTGGAAACAGAAGCAGTAGATTTGGGTGATCACCTCAAACAAGTAAGTGATGGACAAGTGATCTGTAGATTTTTCATGTCTTATTCAAGTGGGTGATAACTCTTTTTACTGTCTTTGTTGAGTTTGCATTGTTGATGCACTGTTTCCATCTACACTAGTTCAAAGGAAATAATGTTTTCAGCAGTAAGAATAACACAAAACTGACAGCTGTGCTAATTGACAGCTGTGCTAACAGCTCACTCATACAAATCTGTTTGGAGTAAGAAGAACAAAGCTTGGATATTTTGTTTGGTTTTGTCCTTGGGAAATAGCTCTAGTGTGAAAGTGGGATGCATTTATGTCTTCTGTCACTTCTGAGTAATTTTCAGATAGTTTTCCTCATTCAGTCATGTACTTTTTTGTGGTCACAGAACATAGAAATAACATCTTTTCAGTAAAATCTAGCAAAGAGGTGGGTTTAATTTGGTTTGGGTTTTGGTTTTTTGGTTTGTTCGTGGGGATTTTTGTTTTGTTGTGCTTTGCTTTTTTAGCAACAGCCATTTACTACTTTTATCTAAATATGTGACGTGACTTCAATTCATCTCCTTTATTCCTTGTAGGAATATGAGCAAGGTATTTTTGTTGTACCCCTCTTTACACTGGAGGGAAGGAAGAGAGAGAGTGTGAAAATGAATGCTTCTGTCACAGGGAAAGTTTGGATCTAGGTTTGTGCAATTTGTTGGGATTCTCTGATATTCAGTAATTCACAGGTCCCTGGGAAAACAGAACTACCCTTTTTAACTTACTGGAAAGGCCAGTTGTGTGTGATCAGTGTGTGACGAGACATCTGAGTGCCACCTTCCTCTTATCCCTTTGTAGCCTCAAGATTGTCAGCAGCTGCTACCAAACAAGCTGGCACTGAGTGAAGAAATCCTCCCAGATGCTGTTCAGGACAGAAGCCTTTGCAGTTTACCACCTCTGAAGAGAAGGTCCTTGGTGGGAGTTGTCGTGGAATTCGTCGTCTCTCCTACCCAGTTCTACATCCACATCTGTGGCAGGGAAACATCCCACAAACTGCAGGATCTGATGTTTGAGATGAGGTGGGAGCATGTTGTGCCAATGCAGTGCTGCTGCCTGTGGTGTGTGTGTTTGTGTCGAGGGAAGAGGGCACCAGCTGTTGAGGATGGTCAGTGCTGGCTTCATTACTTGGTAATTGGATGCAGGTGCTGTACTGAAACCCCTACTCATCGTGCTTAGCCATTCCTCTTAACTAACAAGCAGTGAGTGTGTTCAACAGCAAAATAGTCTTAGGCTGTTCTGGACTTCAAAAACCTGGAAAGATTATGGAGAGGATCTTAAAGGGTTCCTTTGCCTTGTGCTACTGTTGCTAATGTGCTCAGTTAAAGCTTTTATTTCCATTTCTAACGCTTTGAGCCAGTGCTCCGGAACTTGGTTCATAAGAAACAATGACATGTAAAGGTAATGTTAAAAAATTAATGGTTAGAATAATGGTATTTAGCCTCTGATTAATCCCCATTAATTAACTTTTTGTCGGACCCCAGGCATATCATTCAAATGTTAAAAGTTTGGGGTTGAATTTTTTTGTTGCCATTGCAGTTCAAGTGTGGGAGAACAGAGATATATAAAGGATCTGTTGAAGCAACTCCTGAAAATTCATGTCATGGGGACTTTGAAAAATCAGGATTCTTTTGATGCCCCGTGTGCTTGTTCATGTCCTGCAACCTACTAAGCAGAGTTTCTCCCTATGATCTTTTACAGACACCTTTACTCACATAAACTGGTCTCTGATAAATACATCATGCCTGACTCTGCAGTACGGCCTGGACAGCTCTGCTGTGTGATGGTCTCTAAATGGTGGTACCGTGTTATCATCCATCGTGTGATCAGTGACCAAGAAGTGGAGGTGTTCTATGCAGATTATGGACACCTCCAAATTGTCCAAAAGTCTTGGCTGAGATTCCTCAAGTAAGTACATTGCACGTGGGCGGCAGAACAGCTGAGGTTGGATTAGACTTCTGGAAAGCATCCTGTCCAAGCTTCCTGCTCAAGTGGAGCCGTCTGGAATAGACTGCCCAGGCCTTGTCAGGATGGTTTCTGAATGTTTCCAAGGTTGGAGACTTCATGACCTCTTTGGGCAACCTGTTCCAGTGCTTGCTCACTTTCATGGTAAAAATGCCACTTTCCAGACAGCTAGCCCCAGGTGTGTGCTGGTGTGTGGTGGTGTTCCTCTCCAAGTGCAGGACTTTGTGAGGTTCCTGTCTGCCCATTTCTATCCTGTCGAGATCCATCTGGATGGCAGCCTGACCCTCTGGGGTATCAGCCACTCCTGCCAGTTTTGTATCATCAGCAGACTGAGGGTAGACTTGCCCAGGTCAATAATGAAGACGCTGAGCAATGCTGGACCCAGCATTGACCTCTGGGGTACACTGCTAAATCCTTTCCTGTTTCTGCCTTCACTCCTCAGTCTGTCCTCTTGCTGCTTTCTTTCACCTTGGGACAACTTCCCTAATCCCCCTTCCTGTGTTCCCTGAATGGATATAAACATTCTCCTGAAGGGACATCAGTCCAAGTGGGACACGTTTGTGGTGCCAGAGGTACTTGTTCTCTGCAGTTCAGCACGTTTTCCATATTTGCATCTTCCCCCTCATTTGTGTTTCTTCCTGCCTGGCTGTTGGCATTCTTTGGTTCAAAAGTCATGGCTCTCTGTCTCTAGCTTTGTCTCCACAAGGAGTTCTGATGGGAATGTGCTTGGGCCAGGGAATGTGTAAGGTAGCAGCTGTTACTGCTGTTTCTGCTCTGCCCATTCTCTGGATATGGAGTGTTTTCCAAAGCTGCTGTTAGGTTTTAGTCATAAGCACACAGTCTAGTGTATGCCTCTCTATTCCTAAGCTGATATTAAAACCCAGAAGAGGAGAGAGTTCTGCTCTGCTGCTGATTTTTCCCTATTTTTGCAGTAATGGTTTTGCTTTGTATTGTAGGTGGCAGTACTTGAAGCTCCCTGCTCAGGCCATCCCGTGTTCCTTGGCGTGGGTAAAACCTGTGGAGGTACATGTTCACATGCAGTTTTGTTTATTGACATATATACAAGAGTTACCAAATAGAAGTTGTCTGTTTTAAAAAACAGACAAAAAGTTGTCTCTGTTTTAAAAAACTCTTCAGTGACAGAGCTTTAAGTGGAGTCAGCACAGCCAAAGAGTTACAGAGGTCATAAAGTTCCTCTGTGGTGGGAAACCTCTTGGTCAAGAAGCAGAAGTACAATCTCTGAAGGAAAGCATGTGAGCAGAGTTGCTGCCTCTGTGTGTTTTAAAGATGCTACTTTTAAAAAGTTGTTTCCTCTGGGTTTTGAGAGTTAATCACGATTTTCATTGCAGTGAGGCTTAACAGCTTCTTAATAACTTCTGATACTTCTGACAACTGTAAAATCTCATGATTCCAAGAATTGGACAAAATAAACACCAAACAACTGTATTTTAGGCAGTTTTGATAAAATCACTGGTGAATGCCGTTGGACTGTGTTTGGAAGTGGGTATTTAAGGTAAAAGGGCAATCCCAGTGTACCCAGCATTGCAGGCTTTGGGAGTAGTTTGGTTTAGTTCTGTGCTGGGAAGCTGGTCTGCCTGACTTTCCTGTATTTGTCACTGGCCTGGCCTGGCTCAGTTGCCTTTTGACAAGTGCCCTCCACCAGGAAAAGTCTCAGGTGGTGGACATTGGCCTGTTTATAGTAACTTCATGTCCTTGTTTTCTCCTTCAGGGTACGTGGTCTCCTGCAGCAACTCTCCTGTTCAAGAATCTCTGTGGCTTCAAGGAGCTTGTGGGCATTGTGGATGAATATGTGGATGGCATTCTGCACCTCTTCCTCTGTGACACATCCACCAAGGAGGATGTCTACTTCCACTCTGTCTTGAGGGATATGGGATATGCTGATGTCTGTGGAGAGAACATTCCTTCCCAGGTCAGGAGGGAGGCATGTGCTGCTCAAAGAAAGGGCAAGGAAAGGACCCTTGTAATGGGAAGATCTTTACCTTGAAGCAAGTAGTTTTGTGAAGAGCAAAACTGGTATTCCCTGCTTTCCTGTAGCTTACCATTTGTGGCTGCAACCCACAGTGTGTGTCTCTCTATGGTGAGAGCTTGCTTTTTGGTTAAGGTGGAATCTGATGATACAGCAGAGATGTTCTGGTTTAGCAGAACAGATTGTTTCCACTGCCTTCTGGCAGTGGATTAGAAGTTGATTAGCTTGGTAGTGTTGCAGATTCAGCTGACACACATCTTGTAGAGATAACAGGGAAAAGTAAAATCACTGCAGGTGTTCTGAGCATAAGGCCAAACTGAGATGGAATTGAGAGGTTGTTAAGAGATGTGTTAATTGATTCATCCAGTCAATTAATGAGAGCTCAAGTTCATTAGATTATATTGTATGACTTAAAGTAGTGCTACATCGTGAGCAGTTGAGTGAGGAACACTCCCATCTTCAAAAGGGGCAAGAAGGAGGACCCAGGAAACTCCTGGCTAATGAGCCTCACCCCCATCCCTGGAGAGGTGATGGACCAGGGCATTCTGGAGGTCATCACCAAGCAGGTAGAAGAAAAGGTCACCAGGAAATGTGTGTTAGGTGAATGGGCAGTGATGTGGATCAACAACTGGCTGAATGGCAGAGCTCTGAGGGTCATGATCAGCAGAGTAGAATCCAGTTGGAGGCCTGGAGTCAGTGGCATTCCCCAGGGATCAACAGTGGGTTCCAGTCTTATCTTTATCAATGACCTGGAAGAAGGGATAGAATGTACCTTCAGCAAGTTTGCTGATGATACAAAAGTGGAGGAGTAGGTGATACACCTGAAGGCTGTGCTCCCATTCAGGGGGACCTTGACAGGCTGGAGAACTGGGCAGAGAGAAACCTAATGAGGTTCAGTAAGGGCAGTTGTAGGGTCCTGCACCTGGGGGGGGAATAACCCCAATACCAGGTTGGGGGCTGACCTGGAGAGCAGCGCTGTGGAGAAGGACCAGGGAGTGTTGGTGGATGACAAGCTGTCCATGAGCCAGCAGTGTGCCCTGGGGCCAGGAGGGTCAATGGGATCTTGGGGTGAATTGGGAAGAATGTGGCCAGCAGGTCAAGGGAGGTGGTCCTGCCCCTCTACTCAGCCTTAGTGAGGCCACATCTGCAGTGCTGTGTCCAGTTCTGGGCAGGTTCCAAGAAGATGGTGCCAGACAGTTTAGTGGTGCCCGGGAACAGGACGAGGAGTAATGGCCATAAACTAAAACACAAGAAGTTCTACCTCAGCATAAGGAAGAACTTCATGTTGAGGGTGGCAGAGCACTGGAACAGGCTGCCCAGGGAGGTGGTGAAATCTCCCTCTCTGGAGACATTCCAAACGCACCTGGATGCGTTCCTGTCACCTGTTCCAGGTGACCCTGCTTTGGCAGGACTGGATGATCTCCAGAGGTCCTTTCCAACCCTGATAATTCTGTGATACTTAAATTATTTTGGCCTGCCGTGCTGTGAGCACTGGAGATTGGTTATGCCATTAGCAAACTGAGCTATGGAGATTGTCTTGCTTTAAAAACTCTTACTTTGCCAGTGAAAGGTACCGTGTTGGGCAGTGTGACCGTGGTAGATTGCCTGCTGTGCCTCAGACAGACATTCCAGTTGTAAGCCAGTGCAGAGGGCATTTGTGCTTTAGGCTCCTCTGTGTCACCATCTGCCTGTGTCAGCTCAGTTTCAGTAAGAACTCTGTGGATGATGAAAACCCTTGGAAAGGTACTGCCATGATTTTATATCTCAGCAGAAAACTGGGCCTTACAGCCTGGAGTGCTTCTCTCTGTTGCTTCCTTCAGTAGATGCAGAATGCATGTTTTGGCAGGATTAGATCCTGTCATCATATTTTTTTCCACGTGTAGGTCCACTTCTGAAGGGGAGAGGGGCATTGCTGAGAAATTTTGCTGCTGGCAGGAGGGGAGTTGATTTTCCTAGGAAGGCCATTTCTGCAAGAATTTTGAGCTCACTTGGGGGTGTTGTGCTTCTCCATAAAACCTACTAGAGGTTTGCTGAATCGAATCCTTTTTATTCTTTGTGGTGGTTACAACATGGGCTTTTCTCCTGTCCTGGTGTGTTTTTTATTTGTTCCTAGGAATTCAAGGAACTGAATCCTTTGGCCTTGTATGTTCAGCCCAGTGGAGAGCAGGAGAATGCTGAACTGGTGAAGCCAGACCTTTGCTTGCAGCAGGAATCTCTGGTTGCAGATAGTGAAACAACATCCTCAAAGCTGGATGGGGCTGAGCTGTGTGGCCAGGTGAGAGTTGGCTGTGGCACAGCTATTGTTCCATGAAATCAGCTCCATGTGGCTGAGAGGTGGGTGACCATCCCTGAAATGTAAGTTTAATTTGAATTCTTAACCAAAAATGCAGAGGGGCTTCCTCTGACTCAGTTCCTGCTTCCTTGCAGAAACTCCCTCTGTCATTGCCACCACTGGTTCTGCGTGGGGCTGCTGAGAGATGAGCCAGCTGTTGATTTCTTTCCTAAGACATGATGCTTTGTATCTTGTAATCTATCCCTCTTTTCAGCTTGCTGTGCAGGAATAGCTGCCCTTTGGCCAAGGGAACTAGGGGTTTGTTGTTGTGTAGTTTTGTTGTTGTGGTTTTTTAATCATCCAGTTGCTGACATTCCAGTTCTTTGTAAATTTTTAGAGATAATAAAGATCAGGGCAGCTAATGAACTGATTGTGCACTAATTGCACCCTCTCTTGATTTTTTTTTTTAATGTACATTTGCAGACACCTCATTCTCTTGGAGAGTCCTCTGTGCCTGCTGTCTTAGTCAAGTCAGTGGAAGATCTTTATACCTCCTTTATTTACTCCAAGCAACCAGCAGAAATGAGGCAAGATGACCCTGATCAGATAGAAAGATTTTTGAAGCAAGGCCCAACTTTCTGAAGCTGTACATCCTGCTGTTCTGCTCATGGCAGTGCCATTCGTGCTGGACACCCCTAACAGTATGGGTAGATTTGTCAGTCAGAGTTCACACAGCAGGAAGCTGAGCAGTCTGTTACCATGCCATGAGTTTTGCAGCCCCTGTTGGGTATCCTAGGGCTGGTGCTGCTGGAACAGATGGACATGTTGGTGTTTCTGTGGGCTGGAGGTGCCACGGTAATAAATGGCTGGATGCAGCGCATCGGTTTGGCCTTTGTGCAGCAAAATGGATTTCTAATTGTTTAATGGGAAGAAATGAATTGAGGGTTAGTTCTTTCATTGCTGGTTTTTGTTGTCTTTTCT